GGATTGTTCAACAACACTACTGTATCTTTTGATTCGTACAGAACAGTGTCAACAACATTGTCAATGGATTATCACAAAGTGCTGCATTAACTAGATAATGAATCAACTCCTATCTTGGGATTGGCATTATGAAAATTGAATGTTGAGATGATTCACATATGATTTATCCTCCAAATAGAAACCACCTTATTAATAGAATCTGGATTTTCTGCCTAATATCTGTAGCAGGACTATAGACCATTTTCAGCAAGAGTGACAAACATCAGATGGAAGGACAGTAAGGAGTAATATGGAACACTGGCTTTCTTTATCTGAAACCTCCACAAAAGGAATATATGTCCTTAAGTAGCTTTGTAAAAAAAATCCTTTGTCCATTGGGAAAGAATGCAATAAGGATCATCTTCATTCAAAGTTACCAATAACATAGAAACCTATAAATTGCTAATTCATACTAATCAGTTCAAAGTTCTCAAAATCTTTTGAACAATTCCTTTACATTATAAACTAACTAGATTGTTATTTATGTGTTTCTTAGATTGTCTTATGATCCTATAGGGATCATAGACTGCTACGGTCTATTTGATCATCCCTACTAGTATGTGTGAATTATAGTGACAATATCTCAAGGGGTTATGAAATGATGAGAGAGAGAGAGAGAGAGAGAGAGAGAGAGAGAGAGAGAGAGAGAGACAGACAGACAGAGAGAGAGAGAGAGAGAGAGAGAGAGAGAGAGAGATTGTCTTCAATTGCCAAGAAAATGGTGTCAGTTAAATCCACAAGAGCTGAATTCAACTTGAAACATACTATACCTTTATGAAGCAATTATTCAGGATCTGAAGAGAAGTAAGAACGTTAACTTCCTTCTTTATTATAAGGGGAGCTTTGGTCAACTAGAGACCAACTTAATGGAAATTACTCGACTCCCCTTGGTCCTCTTCAGTAAGTCATTATACATGTTTCGCTCCTTCTTTTAACCTCATAATTAATGTTTTCAGGTTTAAAGGAAAAAATCTTCACCTAATCAGTTTGTGTTAAATTTTTGGGTTGCTGTGAGCTGGTTTACAACTGGCTTTGAATGAGGCAGAATTTGGAAATTCAGTGAATTATTGGAGGACAATGAAGATAAGAACATATGTTGAGCTTCTGATATTATATTTACCTAATTCAAACACGACAATTTAGGATGATTCTCCTGGTAATGGGGACTAAATAGGAGGAAAAATATATGCCCCCATTACTAAACATTCAGTCACACTAAGATGATTTTTTCCATTTTCATGAGATGCCCATCAGGAGAAAATTCTGCATGATTGTCAGATGAAAGCAATCAGAACTACTTGTGAAGAGTCTCAACAGTAGTTTATTGCCATTCAACTATGTTACAAGAATCTTACCAGACTCACTACATTCTCTTGGGAATGCCAAGCTAAGGCTTCAAGGATTCTGGGGGGGGGCAGGGGGGAGAGAACCAGCTTGTGCTTCTCACTGCAGTGCAACGACTCTAAACTTGGGCCTCTCTTGTCCTCTCCCTCCAGTCTAGGTAGAGATTCCACCACAATGATTAGAGCAGTGGTGGCAAACCTATGGCATGGGTGCCAGAGGCAGCACTCAGAGCCCTCTCTGTGGGCATGCGCGCCGTCGCCCTAGTCCTAGGCCTTCAGCTGGGTTTTATAAAACCTTTTCGCTTTAGGCCTCTGCCGCCGTGTGCAAAAAAAAAAAGAGGTTCAATCAATCAGTCAATTTCAACTTCTCGCGGGAAAAAAAAAATCTTGCAAAGTTGGAATTGATTGATTGAACTTTTTAGTCCCACCCAGTCTGCCATTACCACCACAGCCATGCCCACCCAATGGGCCACGCCCACCCAATTGGCCATATCCAGCCAATGGGCCACACCCACCCGGCACTCGACGATGCAGAAGTGGGTTTTGGGTTGCAGTTTGGGCACTCAGTCTCTAAAAGGTTCACCATCACTGGATTAGAGCTTGATGAAGTCTCTTATGTAAGGCAAGACATCTAGAGTACCTTTGATGAATAACAGTTAGATGTTCCAGAATAATAAGCCATAGACAAAGTGATATTCCTAAGAAATAGGAAGATCATGCCAATGAGTTCTACTATTTCTTATTCCCACATTTTCTATTCTTCAGAGAGTTTATTGGAGGAACATTCTGCATGGCACTTTTTAGTTAGTCCCTGTTGTTGAACTGAGAAAGGAGTTGCTTTTCAATTGGCATGTCAACCTTCAGCTCGAGTATCCAAATAAAATCCAGGATATCTTTCATTTCTGAAAATCTTACTACAAAGAATTCCAGTTTTATTTAATATACCAGGCAGGAAAATTCTAATCAGACAATATTTCCTGATTATTGTTTCAGTTCTTTTAATTGTAGATTTTGAAACTCAAAAAACATCGAACTTCACAGACACCGATCTTGTCAATAAAATTATTAACTTCATGGTAGATGCAAATAACATTCGGCTCTCTTGTCTAACTACTCATAGCAAATTTCCAAAGATTTATGCACAAATGTTTCTCCTTAGCCAAAATTTCTGTAATATGAAACACACTGTAAAGCAAAAGAAAGAGAAATGATTTGATGCAATGTACCAGAAAAATTACCTTTGATTCAATATGGGAATAAATGATCCTTTTCGCAAAACATAATAGGCCAATATTTTTTATGTTTTCCGTAGGATGTATAAAAGTTGCTAGAATCTTGATTTGTTGTTAGACCCTTTCAACAAGTTTGCTTTTATATAGACTAGACTAGACTAGACTAGACTAGACTAGACTAGACTAGACTAGTATAGAATAGAATAGAATAGAATAGAATAGAATAGAATAGAAAATAGAATAGAATAGAATAGAATTATTTATTGGCCAAGTGTGATTGAACACACAAGGAATATATAAAATATGTAAAATAAATATCAATTAAAAATACAGTGGTCTTTGTCAAGCATTTAGTCAAAATCATTTTTTTAAAAAAATGGAATAATGCAAATTAAAAATAGACAATTTGATTTTTAACCTATAAAATGATGCAATTATTAAAAAACATTTATTTATTTATTTATTTTATTAAATTTATTGAAACCCTCCATCTTACCACAAGGTAACTCTGCACAGTTTAAAATATACATATTTACAATATATAGCATACCATGTATATATATATAAAGTTAGGATGAAGGAAGTCTGCATTATGTTTATAAAATGTCATCTTAACATAGACTTCTGCAGGCTATGGGTTGAGAACTGGGACATCATCAGAGGTTGAGCTCTTTTTGAAATCATGAATAGAATAGTTTTCCTTGGTAGAAGGAAAGTCATGGAAACAAAACAGCATATTTCCAACCTCCAAAAATTTCTCCCTATTAGAATTGGACGAAAATCAATTTCTGCTCCAGAAATTCTAATAGGGAGAAATTTTTGGAGGTTGGAAATATGCTGTTTTGTTTCCATGGCTTTCCTTCTACCAAGGAAAACTATTCTATTCATGATTTCAAAAAGATCCAGTTTGTTATAGATTGATTAACACAAACTGGATCGCTACTGTGAAATATATTTTGGATTCCTTGCTTTTAACAGTGGATAGGAGAAGTTCAAACTCTCCTTCCATCTCAATGTTCCCATTACAGCAGACTCAATGAAGTACAGAGAGGCTGATAGAAGAAGTTGGTGTTCCAATTTAACATCCCTTTCCCTTAACATGTCAGCCTGTCTGGTCCAGCCATATTGTCATGCAATGCTCTGCCTCAATACTGGTCAGCAAAAACTTTCCATAAATTTAGGGAGATCCCTGATTAAGAATGTCACTAAGCAGAAGATTTAGAAGATGAATTGTAAAATATCCTTCACTGAAGAAGGTGAGACGAGATAACATCCTGGTCTTTATGAACTAACTGCTTGAATTTTAGATGGCCCCAATTTAAATCTTACATTTTGGGCACACAACGGTTTTAACTGCAATGGTATATGTCTATGAGCATACACAGGAAAATTGTGTGAGTGTATCTTTTATATTATTGTTCAGGACAGTATTGTTAATTTTTTGATTTGGTTGTAAATCTTCCTCATCTTCTTCCTCACTGACTTTTTTTTTTAATTTCCAGATTTAAACTGATACTGGATTTCATTCTGTGTAGAAAGAGAGATGAGTTAACCTCTAGGCAATTTTTGAGAACTAACTGCTTGAGTTTTAGATGGTTTCAATTTAAATTTTGGGCATGCAGTTGTTTTAACTGCAAAGGTATATGTTTACTGAGCAAAATTGTGTGAGTGTACCTTTTACATTATTGCTCAGTACATTTTTTTGTGTGGTTGGATTTGGTTATAAATCTTCCTCATCTTCTTCTTCCTCGTTATCTTTTTTCATTTCCAGAGTTAATTAAACTGATATTGGATTTCTGGAGAATTTTAGACATACCCTTCAACAATTTCTACTGCAATTCCTATTCAGCATTTCCAAGGGTTATCTTTCACAGACAACCTTTTTTTCCTGTTAAATAGTATAAAGGAGGACTACTTGATTTCTATTGCTGATACCACATTGTGCTACAATGTTTTACACCAAGATACTAGCATTAGGTTGCATTGGCTGCTGAGAAAGCTACATTCCTTGCACAATTATGCTATTTATCGTCAGTTTCAAACCAAACCAAGAAAATTTTCTTGAAAATTTGTCCTAATATTGTCCCTTTTTTTTTTTTACCTCTACAGAAAACTACCAGCATGCAGGGTTCTACGGTGCTTTTTTTGCAGCGGGTTTTCAATAATTAAAAAAGATTGAGATCCTTCTGCTTTTTGTTCCAAGCCTTCATTTGAACGATGTTAGAGGAATCAGAATAAAATTGCATTCCAGTTAGACAATAATCATGTCTGAGGTTTCAGAAACTACTCACAGATGAACAGCTAAATCATTTTAGTAAAATATTGATACTGACCTTAAATAATAGCCTTTAAGTCAAAATAGATGAATTCAACAAGATAAGAATGTTCATAGTTTTCCTTCAAAGTTCCTTCTTTTCCACACTTTGACCACAGCCCTGTGGACATCCTTATTCCGCAAAGTGTAAATGATGGGGTTAAGCAGGGGAGTGACCACAAGATACATAACTGCAATGTTTTTGTTTCTGTCAGGAAATGAGCTTGATTGAGGGATTATGTATATAGACATGATAGTGCCATAGAACAAAGAGACCACAACAAGATGCGAGCCACATGTGGAGAAAGCTTTCTGCCATCTTGTAGTGGACTGCATTTGACAAATGGAATACAGGATGCAACTATAGGAACACAAGATAACCCCAAAGGGAACCAAAACAATAAATGCTGATAGACCATTGAAAATGACTTTGGTGACTTTTATATCATCACATGCTAGATCTAGCAAAAAATGCAGCTCACAGAAAAAGTGGTTAATATGATTGGGACCACAGAAGGAATGGCGAAGGATGAAAACAACATTGACCATCGAGAAGACACCTGCTATGATCCAGCAGGAGGTGGCAAGCAGATGTTGGTGCTTTCTGTCCATGGCAGAGGCATATCTCAAGGGGTTGCAGATGGCCAAGTAGCGATCATAAGCCATGACACCCAACAGCAAACATTCAGTACTCCCCAAGCTCAGAGCACTACCTCCCTGCAACATGCAACGTGTCAAGGACAGCACACCTTTTCCAACCAAGAGATGGGCTAAAGTCTGAGGCAAAGTGGTAGTGACATACACAATATCCAGGCCTGCAAGATGGCTGAGAAAGAAATACATAGGTGTGTGCAGTTGAACATCAGTGTTTACCAATATGATGATTAGCAGGTTACCCAAAATTGTGAGCAAGTAGATTGTTAGGAAGATCGCAAAGAGCAGAATTTGTTCTTTTCGATGAGAGGTGAGTCCCAAGAGGATGAACCCTGTTTCTGAAGTGAGGTTCTCAGAGCCCAATCTTGGCATTTTGCCTACAGAGCAGAGATATTGATGGACAATGAGTTAAATTGCAAAATACAGATAGGGAAGAGGAAGAGAAAACTGTACATCCAATCTACTATAATACAAGGTCAGCTCACACATCTTTGATTTCCAATCCATCTATCTGGATTATTCAGCAATAATACTGTATCTTTTCATTAACACAGAACAGTACCAAAGATAGTCTCAATAGATTATCAGAACATACTGTATTTTCCAGATAATAAGTCAACTCCTGTCTTGCAATTGTCATAACAAAACCTGAATGTTGGAACAATTCATACATGATTCATCCCCAAACAGAAAACAGAATACAATGCATTAATGGAATCAGAAATCTTTAGAAGAGAATATTTGTAGCTCAGGGTTGAACTGTGGGCTTTTGGTGCTCCCTGTTCTTGGTGGGTTTCTTGCAGATTAGGCTAGAACTGATGATGTTACCTTGTTTGGTAATGAAATGTCTGCAAGAAAACCAGCAAACTCCATACCAAGGATCCCACAGAATCAAGGCATTTCTGCCTAATATGTATAAGAGGGCTACAGACCAGGTTCAGCAAAAGTGACAAAGATCAGAGGAAAGGACAGTGAGGAGTAATATGACACACTCATTTCCATTATGTAGCCTTCACAGAAGAAATTTATGTTGTTAAATATCTTGTAAGAAGTCTTTTCTCCTTTGGAAAAGAATACAACCAGGATCCACTTCATTCAAACTTACCAATAACATAGATACCTATAAACTGATAACTCATACAAATCATTTCACAATTCTTAAAATATATTGAACAATTGCTTGATGTTATTAATTAAGATTATTATTTGTGTCTTTGTTAGATTATCCTTTGCTCTCCTACATAATTCCATTGAAATACTGAAATCCTTTATGGACTTTTTGCTGGAGAAACAGTGACATATGGATTTAATGATTAGAAAGGGTAGATTGTGGAAAGAAAGAAATTATGATATAATTTCAGTCAGGGAAACACTAAAAAGTATTTATAACAGTGTTAAGAAAATTGGAAGTTATTTATTTCTTTTTTCTTTTTCTTCCTTTTTTTCTTTGTTGATTTTTTACTTTTGTATTACTTTTTCAATTTAAACTGATCAAAATAATACAATAGAAACCTACCTCTGTGTTTCTCCTAGGACTTCATCAGCTCTCAGGGAGATCTGATTCTTGCTATCAGTTTCAAACAGACGGGTAAAAGCTGGAGTAGCTACTAGTACAATTCCCAGGGAATGATGCTGAAATATAGGGAAATCTTTGGGCACAGTCATCAGAAACTCTCAGGTACTTAGCCAAATATGTTCCTGATAACATATTTCACTTTTATGAAGCAACTATTCAGGGCCTGGAGAGAATTGGGAAGCACGCTACCTCCCTTCTCTATTATAAGATGAAAATAAGTGTCAGACAGGGACCCACTAAATGGAAATTGCTCTGCTCCCCTTGGTCTTCTTCAAAAGGTCATTATATATATTTTTCCCTTCTTTAAATCTCATAAGTATGTGAGTGACTACCTAGAAAGCTGAAATTTGAAATTTGATGAAATTTGCTCCACTCCAGATTTGGGCTGATTTACCTCAGAATTTGAGAACTTTCCAAAGATTAACTCTAAGGAAACTTAATGAAGGACTCACAATGATCACCTTTTCCATGTGTGTTCTTTCTGCACTTGGACATTAGTCCCCACCTAATATTCTTATGGGAATTGAGGGTTTTGGATAACTTCCATTTTGGTAGTCCTGAAACCTAAAAGGGAAGTTGAAGAAAGCAGTACTGAATAATTAATTTGGCCAATACACTAAATCATTATTTTGTAGCAGTTTGCCACAGTCATGTTCAAGAAAAAAAAAGTTTGGGAAAAGCCCTGCATTTTAGGAATATCAACAGGCAAAAATATTGGAGGAACTAAAGTAAAATTTCCTTCTGTGGAGTGTGTGTGATAACACTAAGGTGACCAACTTTTTTATAATGAAAAGGAGGACACAAATAAATTGAAGAAAAAAAATATCGTAAATAAAAAAAACCCATTTTATTCATTGCAACAATAATACAGACAACTTGCATGTGCAAAGTTTGCCAGCCGGGTGTTTTGGCGCGCTCAGCAGCAATTCCTATTGGCTTTCGAAAGCCAATAGCGGGAGTAGCACAGCTCATGCAAAAGTTGAAAAAAAAACCATCAAAAAAAGGTGCCGGAACGCCGTTCTGAGCGTTCTATGAGAAAAAAAAAGCTCTGCAAATTAGTCTTCAAATATCGAAAAGGAGGACATGTAGGAGGACACTTTTCAAGGGAGGACAGAACCTACAAAAGGAGGACTGTCCTCCCTAAAGGAGGACGGTTGGTCACCTTAATAACACCTAAGGCACTTATGTAGGGTGGCCACTTACCTTTTAGTGGATCACAATTTAATTCTTTGTATATTTTAGATTGGCTTTAGATAGCAAATACGTAGGTGTGTGCGCCCATCCATGTGTTTGTGTGGATATGTGTAATGTGGGTATATCCTTATGCTATAGCTCAGTGCTGTCAAATTTGTTTGTAAATCTCCTTGCACTCTTCTTAGTCCTCCTTTTTTCTTCTTCAGAATAAGGAATAAAACTGATATTAAATTTCCAAAGAAATACAGACATATTATTTCAACAACTTTTATTGGAATTCTCTATAAGTCATTTCCCTTTTTTTATTTATAGACCATATATTTTAATCATTTTTATTGGAAATCTTGATCACATATTTACCGACAATATTTTAAAATAATTGTAGCAGTATATTATAGTCAGCCAGATGTTTAGACTGGATTTGGCATTTTTGTCCACCTCTGGAGTCCTTGCCAAATCGAACATCTGGTTGACTGTGCTACTACTACTAGTAGGAATAATAATAACAATAGTAATAATAATAATAATAATAATAATATTTTAATATTATTAATAATTATTAAGAGACTAGACAGCCACATGTCTGAAATGGTAAGGTTCTCTTGCTTGAGCAGGGGGCTGGACTAGAAGACCTCCAAAGTCCCTTCCAGCTCTGTTCTATTCTATTCTAATTGGTGCAAGATATAGCTATAATATTTCAGGTCATTACGTTAGCAATATCTACCATGATTTGAGATATCAACAGTAAATAGATGATACTCAACTTTATATCTCCACCCCTGGGGACCCAAGTGATGCTGTGGCTGCCCTCTTGCAGTGCCTGGAGGCTGTGGAGGCCTGGATGGGGGACAATAGGCTTTGGCTGAACCCTGGCAAGACAGAGTGGCCTGGAGTTTCAAAGCTTCAAGATTTCAGACTACCTCCTTAGTTCTGGATGGGGTGGCACTCTTCGTAATAATAGTTTTATTGGTTTGCCAAAATATAAAATGCAAAGGAAAATTCAAAAAAGTAATAAAAAAACTAGAATAAGGGGGAAGGAAAGAAAAAAGAAAAGAAAAGAAAAAAAGGCACCAACTTCCAACTCTCTTTAGTACAGTAGATGATGACAACACTACAACCACAACTTTTGCTTTTACACAGCTGTATGTACAAGCCATTTCTATAACAATAAACCTATCTAAGGGATTAAATATATTCTCTTCTTTGAATAAAAGAATTAGTTTGACCATCTCTACTTCTCTTTGCGGTGGGAAACAATATCTCTCTCTATTGACTCATTATTTTTTATCATAATTCATATTAAGGGAATCCTCTATAAAAATTTCAGTTTTTTTTTTAAAATCTGGACTTGCAAATCTTGCTGGAAGAGCAGATGGCAGTCATGGCTAGGAGAGCCTTTGCACAACTTCATCTTGACTGTCAATTGCAGCCTTTGCTGAATCAGGAGTCCCTGTGCTCAGTTACTCAAGCTCTAGTCATCTCATACTTGGGCTAGTGCAGGGGTAGGCAACCTTGGCTCTTTTATGACTCGTGGACTTCAACTCCCAGAATTCCTGAGCCAGCTGTGCTGGCTCATGAATTCTGGGAGTTGAAGTCCACAAGTCATAAAAGAGCCAAGGCTGCCTACCCCTGGGCTAGTGCAATGCGGTGTACATGGGTCTACTCTTGAAGAGCATTTGAAAGCTATAGCTGGTGCTGAGTGTGGCAGTGTGGGAAGTGGCTAGAGCCTGCAAAGTGGCCCATGTTACACCACTGCTCAGTGAGCTGCACTGGTTGCTGACTTGCTTCTGGAAGCAATTCAATTTTTGGGTTATCACCTCTAAAATCCTGCATGGTGTGAGCCCTGGATACTTGAGGAATCATCTCACTCCAGTGGAACTGGCCTGCTCCACCCATGCCAGTAAAGGGAGCATACTGCGGATCCTTAAGGAATTACAGCTGGCCAGGTCCAGGAAAAGAGCCTTTTCTGTTGTGTGTCCTGCCCTTTGGAATATCTTATCACCTGCCCTTCTGCAAGTGCCTTAAGACCTGGTTCTGCAAGATGACTTGGGGCCCCAACGGGGGAACATCACACTGGAAGTGGTTGATTAATTAAGAGCTAATCCCACCTCCCCCCCATACATCCAGCTCTCTCCTTCTCCAGCTTGTGACAATGATTTTGTTTTGATGGTATTTTGATTTTGATATTGAATGGATTGCCTTTGTTGCTAAAATTGATGCAATTCTTCTATTTCCATAGCTCTGTCATTTTATCCTAGACTTTGATCAACTAGAATAGAATAGAGCTGTAAGGGATCTTGGAGGTCTTCTGGTCCAGCCCCCTGCTCAAGCAGGAGAACCTATACCATTTCAGATAAGTGACTGTCTAGCTCAGGGGTAGGCAACCTTGGCTGGCTCAGGAATTCTGGGAGTTGAAGTCCAGGAGTCATAAAAGAGCCAAGGTTGCCTACCCCTGGTCTAGCTTCTTCTTAAAAACACCCATGATTTCGGAAGGCAAACTGTTCCACTGGTTAATTGTCCTCACTGTTAGGAAGTTTCTCCTTAATTCCAGGTTGCTTCTCTCTTTGATTAGTTTCCAAGCATTGTTTCTTGTCTTGCTCTC